CAAGTGCACTGTGCTGCAGTCCCTTCTGTACTGTTGTACAACAGCGAGACGCAGTCATTAAAAGTAGGCGACATGAAGTTTTAGGCATTGTCCTGGTGCAAACTTGACAGCCGTAGGGACCAATCACTAATTATTTGCACTTGTAATAAACTCACGAATACGAGGCCATGGAAAAACGCAATGGCGTAGACGGACAGAATAGTATATTGCAGTAGCTGTGACAAAATACCGATGCGTTTCGACTAGCTGGCTGGAGAGTCGATTACAAGCAATGTAGCGTAACATGACAGCGTGCTTAATGGCGTGAATGCGAGTCGGTAAAACTACGAAGGTCAGAATTACTGTTGAGTCTTATCGAACCCTGAGCTACTGATTCTGGAGAAGTAAATGATGCTACGAAGTAATCGTGGCAGTTTGCCCAGTGCACAGATGTTTTCCTAGTATCGCCTGCGTTCGGTGAAATCACAGTGTGGGCAAAATCGAGGTCAGACGAAGCGTACTAGGCAAGACAACTGATGAGGTTGTGAAGCTTAGTCAATTGAGATGGCTTGGGCATATACTACGTATGCCAAGTCCCCGCCTAACTCTACGTGCTATGGTGAGGGGTTAGTTTAGACTGAAGGGGGATTCGGAGTGATTAGACTTAGACTTGGCACCTGTCGATGAGGTCCCTAACTGTTGGCGTGAGCCATGTGGGGAGTTGTCGACTACCTGGCTAGATTTCCTGAGATGAAGGGAATCAGTGGTTGAGCACGGTTGGTGACATAACTGAAGACTGGTCGCAGTGGTGGAAATGCATTCACTCTCTGAAGTCATCTAAAGCTTGAGTATTAGCACTAACTTTTATTTTCAAAATGATTATTCTGTCGCACGATTTTGTCTACTTTGATATCACTTTTCTATCTACCTGTTCTGTGTACTACTATGAAGTGCAGCAACTTCAACTTCTCACGTATGTGAGTGAACAGCACGTGGCATAACCATATTCCCATAAATACAAATGCTTTACCATGTACTTAGCTTCAGCTACTGAAGTAGGAGCAGCACCTGGTGTCAGTATAGTTAAAATGCCGGTTCTTGATTTTTTTTTCCTTTCACAGGTTAAGATTTCTCATATGACCTGTGAAAGTGTCACCTATTTTAACTGACATATTACTTGAAAGAGAAACGCATTTATTTCTGTAGTTTACAAAATTCCGTCACTATTTAGACCTGGATAGACACTTGAAGAGAAAGTACTTTTAAGAAATGGAAATCTATCAAAGTCGTTCATTGACTATCACGCCATGGAGTATCCATCTCTTACTGACTAAAAAGCTTATGTACAAGTGGAACTTAAGCACTGTGGTTGCGTATAATTCCATGTTAGCTTGTTCTCTGAGCATTCTAGGCAATGAAACAGTATCGCTTACTGTATGAGAAATAAGCAATAACTGAAAAATAAATAGGATTGTTTTGCTGTAGGAAATATCAAACGAACACAAGAAAAACAGTCATTTGACATTTCAAAAAAAAATACCGATACCATCGACAATGAGTGAGTAGCTTCTTTGTTAACACCTAAAACGTAGAATATAAACGAACAAACACTCCTAATGGTAAAATCCCAGGAATTCTGTTACTCTGAAATTCCAAAAGGAATGACAGAATATCAAGTATTCAGTAAAGTAATAGGCATATGTTTCCGAATGGTATGACTAAACAATTTTTAAGTACTCGCCAGATCCACAAACTTCAGCTTATTTATGCTTCTCTGGATAGCAAAAGTTTCTTCCTAATTTTATGAAGCTGGAAGTATGCATTGAGAAGTTTCGTTGACCACAATACTCTTTAACTTTGTAACTAATATTCATGCATGTTTCCGTAGGCAACATTGCCTTTCACATATGTAAAAGTAGTGTTTTATTTTGCAGGTAAGTTACTTCTACCAAGATATAAATTTGTAGCCAAAATCAGAAATTACTGTGTAGACAGATAACAAAGAACAAACGATACAAGATGAGTATATTATCTCTCACAAAATTTGCTCGTACTTGAAAAACTACCACGCAGCTTAGTGGTGTTCACTACCCGTATCCCAGTTACTATCTGAAACAAAGCTAAACTTTAATGCGACTAAAGTGCTGTTTTAAAAAATATTTTCCACCAGTCTCTTTAACCATTATTAGTTCTTTAGTAAAATCCATTCCTTCCTCGTGACAACTGGCTGCATTTTTTTCCCGACTCAACAATAGGGGAACCGGAATGCTAAAACAGACTAAACAGGAATATCATACAGTACTACTTACTATTATCAAGTAAATGTCACTGAGCCATAATGAACGAAAGTTGATGTGGAACAATGTTCAATCATAGCAGCTAAGCTTTACCATAATCTTAAATAAACATGAGAATGAGGTAATTTATTTGCTTAAGATCTCACATCAAATCGTTTACAAAGGTTCGACATAGCTGGACAAAAAATACTAGATGCAGTAGAATTAGGATGGGAAAACCCTACAGGGTGCTAGACCAAACTAATGATGTTCTTCTATGTGGTAAGTTAGATCGATATATAGCATGGCAATCTTCACACTCCATCTGCCGGTGAAATGTGCGTAGAGTATTCTGATAGCTTTCAATACCATAACTAGATTCGAGCATATGACTAAAGCACGTATAATGTTTATGTTGAGTCAAATTTCTGTCAACAGACATATCCTGAACTACTACCAATATCTGCGAAAATTAGAATACCGTAAATCATACTACCTCGTACCCCAGTGCTTTAAATACTTACTTAACAAGCATTTCAGAATTTCAAGTATGCGGTTACATGACCATTGACTCACGCCACTCCTTCGGCTAGAGAGGACCAGACAACAGAATAAATGAAACTCGGCTTTGTATTTATTTTCAGAAAAAACCTACTTAGAAGTCCTTTTGTAACCGTTTTACATGCTTTCTAAACACCTGTTGATAGTGTCATTGAAGAGCAATAGTAATTTTGTGGCCTTCATGGATGCGTTGCACATTTGTAGTTGTGTCGTGGACACGTTGTTCACCCGCATAGAAACATAACCTGTAAATCTATTAGGAGTAAAATAAAGAGTGCGAGTAAAATAGTTGTGAATATCTCCTCTTATGTTCAGTCCCGTTGGTACAACCCATGAGAGAAAGGCTGTTGCGGAGAGCGAACCGTATAGAGGTCATAATCACTTGGTACTATTGAATATTTTGCAGTTATCAGTCCCAATCACGTATAGCAAGTCTACTAGTTTACTGCCATCAAAACACATACACTCATAAAACTTAAGTAGTTTATAATCATCACTAAATCAAACAACACAATGTTGTTAGAAGCCAAACACTAATTATTAACAACAGTGAAGTTTGGCTTTTTAGATATCGGTAAATGTTCTGAAACGTTTTTTAGTTTCGAGTAAAATGTGAGCTATTGATTATCTTAGGCGAATAAGAATGTGAAAACCAATTACCAAGTGATAAAACAATACGCGAAAGTTGTATCACTGTTTGACGTTCATGAAGAACGATTTTTAACTGATATAAGCAGAATATATCCACTAGGTAAATTGATAGAATTTAACCATGTTCTAAAACCGACATAACTCCCAAAGGATACCTTAGGAAACGTTTACTGACAAGCGCCAATACTAAACTGCATTTAAAGTTTTAGCAACCTTGGCTTAAGTCACTCAGCAAGAAATGAAAATGGTCAAACTCAAATTTCCAAACATAGTATGTATATACACTTTTTATTTCTCTTAACCACTACGGTTAAACTCCGAAAGCAAATATTTGACCGAACAAGGTAGTAAAAATTATTCGTGAAAGTAATCAAACCTTGAATGTAATTTTAGGTTGAATATTAAACCACTCTAAATCTGTTTATAGATTGCGCATCGAAAGTGAAGAGATGACATGTTTTCGCGGAATGCATAATAAATTACACTTTTAATCATTTTCTAGCTAAACGCCTTTGATTTAAAAACGTTCATGTCACTTCATGAGTATATATATATATATATATATATATATATATTATATATAATATATATATATATATATATATATCAACTGTTCAGCTTCTTCATTATTCAGTGTACAATGTCGCACTCAGAAACACCACTTGTGCTATTTGTGGAAGTATTGAAAACCCAAATCGAGACAAATGTATTTCTCCCTCAGATTAAATTCTGACCATACTTCGCGATGATACGTTTGGTACCACCACGGCTACCCAGTTTCTGGAAAGACTCTGGATACAATATACGTGAATTGTGACCTTCTACCAGGATAAAATCGAAATACTGTTAATTCGACGAAATATCTTGCTTTGATGAGACTTTTTAAACACGCTAGGATAAATTAAGTCAGTTACCAAAAGGTAAAAAACTTTGGGCGAATTAGAGACCGTCAATTGTTATGTGCTGGTCAATAATATTTATATACGAAAACAAATCAAGACTACCTAATTCTACATTCTTTCCTGTCCATTGACTCAATTTTCAACATAATACTAGTGAGACTATAGTTATTGATACAATTACAATTCAGGTAAAATTACTGACATGCGTTCTCAAGATGTATTTCTTTTTACCCTTAAAACTTCATAAAAAAACCATCCCTCAGTTAAGTGAGTCAACTTATTATTTTGCATAGAATGCATACTTAGTCACTAGTATGTAATACTCATGAAAACAAAGGTTGAAGAAGGTAAGGATCACCAAAGATTGGACTCACTAAAGAAGTTACTGACTGTTAATAAATGCCATGTACAGAAACCTAAACTAGGTCCAAATATTCTTAAGTGCACGCGGATGAAGAATATAAATAGCTTAAATTCACTCACACTGGAGTAGATAGATTGACCGTCTTCCTTCAAAGCTTGAAAAAGCCTAAACATACCTTCCGTAATAATCAGAAATCTTTCCTATTAATTTCAGTATCTTTTCTGTTTCTGTACTACTACCAGCAACGACAAATACTGAGTGAGGTTTCATGCTAACTAGTCTGTATATTTACAGAAAAATCCAAACTAAGGGCTAAGACCTGCTGTATTTTGTTATCATAATGCCTTGAATTAGTAACATCTTAAGTCATAATGGGAATTGTATCCATTGTGAATTATGAAAACGTCTGCAACGTGTAAGTGTCTTTGCAATAGGTAATCAAAAGGTCTGCAGAAATGCAGGTAGTAAAGTCCTGTACTTAAATTCAGAAATCGAATCATTAACAAAAGGTAGGAAGGTAAAATACATTTTGACAGGATTTTGAGTATGTATGAAGATGGAAAACGTTTTTTTTCTCCTAAGGGGTAAAAAATTAAAGAAAAACACTCGCTAAATAGACAAAAATAAATTTAAAAAGAGTTACTTCATTCCATAAATGTGTTAACTAAATATGTAATGTGTATATGCAGGTGATTATTTCCATAAGAAGAGTAATATTGATTAACACAATAAAGTGGAAATTGAAAACTGAATAACGCATTAACTGAATCATCTTGTACATTAGCTTATTTATCATCTACGAATTGTACAAACAAACATAGGCGAAGGACTAACCAACACAGGATTTAATTAACTCAGTGATACAGAGGTATTACATGTGTTCTTTCCAGTTTAAAACTCTTTCTGCATAGACATACTGAACTTGAAAACTTGTATAACTTTATTTATATTCACAAAAGCGATTCAGCCGAAATAAAAATGAACTGTAGACGTTCCAAAACCAGGAAAGACTTGAGTGAACAAATTGCGAGCTGATACATTGCCTTTAAGAGAGAAAAAAACCAATACATAAGGGAAACCTTAAACAATTACCACTATGATGAATAGAAATTAGCAACACAAGTGAATAAACAAAATTTTATGTACTCATACATATCAGTACACTGAAGCAGGTCCATTATCGTTTACATTCGACCAGAAAGTGAAATGGCTGTAATTTTTCATCTTTTCATTTACTTCTTTACTACTTAGAAGTAGCCTCTGGCAGACAGGCAAACAAATAAGTGTACGAAAATTAATCTGTCACAGCCTCAGTTGGGGTGACTTTAAAGGCCACCCTAACAACTGCTGAGATAACCAATTACGGTTCTGAATTTTGTGGAAAACTAACCTCACAGTCGAAATACCGATATCTGAATGGTTATTCCAGCAGTTGCTACGGTGATCTCTAAAATCGCTCCTCGGTTGACATATTTAGGTTCATGTTCGAGTACGTCACAGAAAAACATATTTGCGATGGTACACAAATAGACGGTCTAGGCCATTAACAAGACAATAAACTGACTCAGCTAAAAGACTCAACCACCAACCAAGCATTACTCTCAATATAATCGTCAGGTGTTTCCTTAGTCTTCGTCCGAATGGAAAGACATGACTGTGCATTCTTCTGTATAGTAACTACCCAGTCACGATCCACTTTCTCTGATAGGTTGTTATTCTTATGCAGCTCAGTCTAAATATCATGGCTACTTAAAATCAATCAGTTGCTTCATATCTCTCATTCAGATAGAGTTCGATTAGGAGAAAAACCTAGCCGAAAACATAGTGTGATGAAAAATGAACAGACCGTCGAGTTAGTATCCAGGAGACTACTGATTTGAACTCAATCAAGATCAAATCTTCTTGTGAGCTTTAATCATCATCACAGGAAATGAGTGATGACAAACTGCAAAATTAAATCTACAGAGAGATTCACAAACAACTGGTTGACAGGTCAAACTAGAGTACGACACAATAATGAACAAAACGAAAGTATGAAATTCCCCAAAGCCACAAAGTTTTTTTAATGGACGAGGGACTGATTAACTGAGAATGTTGTGAAGTTACTTCAAATGAAAGGGTTATAACACACATTAAACACGATAAAATGAATCACTTTATCAGAAAGAGGTTTATATTCTATCAGGATATAGCGTAATTATGTGAAGTCTCTGACTACAAGTTTAAGTAACAGAAAATGAACAGAAGTTGATAGCCGGTTAAGCTCAAGGAGGAAACCAAAAAGAGATCCAAGGAGATTCCTAATGAGTTTCTTTAACTTAGATACTTGCGGTTTAACCACTAGGTCACAAGTTAAAATCCAATTACATGTATCGACGTTTAGACATACAGACATTATCATTAACCTTCAGGTAATAGGTTCGTAGCACAGTGAACAGATCTTGGTGTATTTGGTATTTTGAATAGTTTTTTATTCATCACAACCAACAAACCAAACAATCTTACACCCTTCATAAACAATTAACATTTATGTCAGCTAGTATTTTATTCTCCTTGATTTTTGCAGTAGATAAACTGTAACAGGTAAGTAGTGATGGTCTATCCTGGTAAAAATGTATGGAAGTAGGTGAAGAATATCAACTAATTGGACATGGATGGATGTTAACTCTGGTCATCAAACTGGAATGGCATAATGAGCGTTTAGTTCAGCTTAAAGTTTATTGCATTCGATTACCAAAGGTAATAGATATAGAAGGAATGAATGGATAGTAAAATATTGATAGTAACGATGTGAATAAAAAAACAGTGAAGTTGAAACCAAAATGAATTTTCCATTTCGTTTTGTATATTCAGAACATTTCACTGACTGATTATAATGACCTAACAACCGAATTAGGAAACAAATAAACACGAATCTAATTTACTGCCGATTCGTATACATGCTAGTAAAGTGGTGTTATAATTGGAGTTATTTCATTTTAAGATCAACGGGTTTATATACATAACGCAACTATTAATATTACCTTGATCAAAGCCATCAGCTGCTAAGAGCTCTCCACTATCGTATTTGCGGCGTTTTTCAGGGTCTGATAATACACTGTAGGCTTCGCCTATTTCTTTGAACTTACGTTCGTGTTCTTTTAAAGTAGCTTCGTCTGCGCTGGTGTGACGATCTACATTTGATAAAGTAGAAATGAATATTTGTTAAGTTGACCACTTATGCAAAAGTACTAAACTAGGATTACCTCTCTCGAATCTTCATAATAATAAAAGTATTTAAGTGGTAACAAACGCTGATGAAAAGCTGATGTTTTAAATGGCACAAATAATGCGAAGAAAGAAGTAAATTAATGTATATCAATAGCGAATGAATTATACTTATTTAAGCGATAACAACAATTATTTTCTTGGAAAGAAGACAAATATTGACGACTGTATCGAAGTAAAACATCTGTACTACAACTACTTCTGCTAATCGAAATAAACACATAAGGTTCGTACACTATAGTGATTGATTTATGTGAAAAAAGGATGCTATAAAAATGTAAATTTCATTTTCCGTTTTAAAATGTTTGTTCACCCATATCAAATTGGTCTTCACTGTCTTATATCCACCGTTTAGTTCTGGACAGTGGTCGATACTGCAGCGAATATTTGTCGAGTTCCAGCCGTTTTGCTGGTACATTTGAATATTTCTTTCCGATTCATTAAGATGTAGATCTTTCGTGAATCCTGTATACAGCTCCAGTGAGCCGAATGACACCAGTCGTCTATATGACAGGTAGACAACACATCAAGTGTCATATTTTATTGCATCCCGGTTGAAAAAACTTCATCTCACCAACTACTTGTAATTTTTCCTCATATTCGGATGCGTAATACTTTAAATTGCAGTATAATACAGTGCAACTGGTAAGAAATTTAACAGAACGTTCGATGCAGATATGACGATCATAGTATCGTTTGAAGATTGAAATAGTAATGTTAAAGAGCAGTAACGGCGAATACTATAAACGTAATTACACTTCAGATTTTCTGACTGGTCATTTATTTTGTGGGAATATTTAAATTGTGGGCCATTTAAAATGAAACAAAGACTTCACACGTTTAAACTTTGAATGGGATGGCTTTCGTAAAACCGCAGGTCAATACTTTTTTTATATTGCATTGCCAAGATCAGATAATAATGTGGTAAAAATTTACAGGAATCGCTTTATTAATTAATTTAAAGTATAAACTCGGTACAGTAAATTCATCGAGCGAGGTATCACGCAAAATAATAAACAATGAAAGAAAATTCAATACGACAAAACATTTGATTAGAAAAGAAAAAACAGAGTTCGCATCACTTTCTGTTTCTATCCTAATTAATAAACTAAATAATCCTTTATACTGCGAAACATGCCCATTCAGTCATACAGAAGAGATAATTCAGCGAAGAAAAATTTCTTTTTCGACGATATCATTTTCTAAAGCTGTACAATCGTATTTATACGTATCATAAACATATAACAGCCTATTATAAAACAATAGGATATAATTGCATCATTAACCTAGTGCTCCGAGATAATCTTGGAAAGAGTGCGCTTTGTGCGGCCTATATAACTAGCTCCATACGAGCAAGTAGATTTGTAGACACACATCGAGGTAGCCCAAAGTGGCAACTTGTCCTTAACACACTCCGGAATAAGTTGTTGACTAGAGAAGTTGATCTGCAGTTTCGCAGAGAAGAATGTCTTCTTTAGTGATCTGGACAGCTAGCAGCAGAGACCCTGAAGAATCCTGCATGGTTGTCGAGGGGAGAATGTAAATCAATTAACAGTTCAATTCTTGAATATTTGGTCAACTCTGAACATAAAGCTAGACCAGAATCCTCCTTCAATGTCATTTATCGTGTCAGATGGAATAGTTCAAAAGAAGTACGCCTTCGACAGTTGTGCACAGTGGAAGCACTGGCAATTCATCATAGTGTAAATTGCTATACTATGATGGGGGTCTGAGGGCGAAGTCGTACTGCTGCTAGCTGGATGGGGTGTGACAGCAGTAAGGTGTTTCCCTTGGATGACCAGCAGTGCCAAGCTGATGCTGCCTTCTCAGTGGAAGGGGGGGTTAGAAAAGGTCGGCCCCAAAAATAACACACTCCACCACGCCCCACGGTCTGCCGGGCCGGCGGTGTTGGTTCACTTGTCGTTTCCTTTCGCTCATCCGGCCCCAAAAATACAAAAATTCAAAATAATCATACTCAAAAGGCTGGGTGTGACAGGCCTCAAGCAGATGTCCGATGGGCTCTGCGGTCACACAAATCTCTTTCAGGTACCTTAAGAAGAAATAGCCTTCCACGGTGTGGGCAGCCGGGAAGTGTCAACCGCCCTCACAACTCTGTCAGCACCCAAGTTTCTTCTGACTGCTATCCTCCTCCTCCATCATTACCTTCTAATCTTCCTTCACGTCTCTTAATTAATGATGCTGCATCATCTTCAATTTCTCCTACCTCTGCAGCCTTCGACAACGATCTGAGTCCACAGAACAGTCCCTGGTCTCCTTAAACCACGCTCCAAATTACATATTGGAGCCTTCAATGTCCGCACCCTCCGTCAAATTGGCCAACAGGCTTCGTTGGCAAAGACTCTAGCAACTCGAGGCATGGATGTGTGCTGTGTTTGTGAGACACGCATACAGGACCCAAGTGTGGTTATTCACCTGACCTCTCCTGACCAATCTGGTGAATCTGCAAAATTCACCCTTCGAGTTTCTGGAGATTCGATAGCTAGCTCTCGTGGTCTTGCAGGTGTAGGTATAGCATTAAGCACCAGGGCAGAAAACTCACTACTAGACTGGATCCCAGTTGATAGTCGCCTCTGCGCTATGAGGCTGAACGGCACAGTGAGAACTAAAAGGAATAGTGAGACTCGCCGTTGTCTCTTTGTAATCTCTGCTTACGCACCCACTGACTGTAGTTCGGATGAAGTGAAGGACGAGTTCTACCATAAACTGTCTAACCTCCTCTCGAAAGCCAAACGTTCGGACGTAGTGGTTGTTGCAGGTGACCTCAACGCACAGGTGGGTAGACTGAGTGAGGCAGAAAGGCACTTAGGTGGCACTTTCGGAATCCCAGCTGAACGTACAGATAACGGTGATCGCCTATTACAACTATGCTCAGATAACCGCCTATTTTTAGCCAGCACAAATTTCAGACATAAAGAAAGGCACTGTCTGACCTGGCGTCCACCGAGCTCGACTCAGCGATGGACACAGATAGACCACATTGCTATTAGTCATCGCTGGAGAGGATCGGTGGAAGACTGCCGCTCCTTCTGGAGTACGTGTTTGGACAGCGATCATGCGTTGGTCCGAGCACGTATATGCCTGCGTCTCAATGGACGTAGAAAAAATTTGGCAACAAAACCACTACGAGTTCTGCTGGACAACGAAAACACCAAAGCCGTGTTCAGTGAGAAGTTGGCTAGGCAGTTATCGGAACAAAAGACTGTCACTCATCCAGAAGAAGCTTGGTGCCATCTTCAGTCTACTGTAAAAGCAGCACTGGAGACTGTAGCCGACTCCAAGATAATGGCTAAAAAGAGCCAGTGGATATCAGCAGCTTCTTCCAAACTAATGGATGCACGTGAATGCATCCCTGCAGGCTCTGAGTACAATGAAGAGCGAGCGCAACTTAAAAATAAACTGACGAAAAGTCTGCGCAACGATCGTGAACAGTGGTGGGCAGCAAAGGCTAAAGAGATGGAAAAGGCAGCGGCGATCGGTAACAGTAGACAGTTATTTAGACTTATTAAGGAGACTGGGGGGAAATGGTCAACAACAGTTAGTGAGGTTATAGCGGAGAAGGACGGATCGGCGATTCACTCGCAGGGAAGGCGACTGGGACGATGGGCAGAACACTTTGAGGAACAGTTTAACTGGCCTCCAGCCACCATTGCGCTGCCCGCTATCCAGTCGGACCCTGAATGGGACATAGAGACAGGTCCCCCAACACTAGAAGAAGTTGAGAAAGCGGTAGGTAGCCTGAAACGGGGAAGGGCAGCAGGACCAGACGGACTACCTGCTGAGGTATACAAGAATGGTGGTAGAGTTCTCTTAGTCAGGCTAACGGAAGTGTTAGCCAGTATATGGGAATCAAATACGATCCCCTCCGACTGGTCTAAGTCACTGATCATCCCAGTCTTCAAGAAAGGCGAGAAGTCCTCTTGTGATAACCACAGAGGAATCAGCCTGACAAACATAGTGTCTAAGATCCTAAGTTCTATAATTCTCCGACGCCTGAGTGGAGCTCGGGAACAGCAAGCCCGAGAAAACCAGGCAGGCTTTAGACCTGGCCGTGGATGTATCGACCAAATATTCACACTGCGCCAGGTCCTGGAACATAGGCATGCTTACAGACGCCCGACAATAGCTGTATTTCTCGACCTGAAGGCGGCATTTGACTCCGTTGATCGAGAAGTCTTATGGCAGTGTCTGTCACTGAAAGGCGTGCCTAGTAAGTACATCACCTTATTGAAAGCTCTCTACTCGAACACTTGTGGGCATGTTAGAGCCTATGGTGAGTTGTCCAGGGAGCTATACTCATCAAGTGGTGTCCGTCAAGGATGCCCACTATCCCCATTCTTATTTAATTTTATCATAGATATTCTTATGGAGGTTTCCCTCTCGTCACCTAATTACAAAGACGTTGACCGGATCACAGGTGAATTTTCCTTAGATCTAGAATATGCAGATGACATAGTCCTGTTAGGTGAAGACGCTGACAAGATGCAGAGTCTTCTGAACACTTTGAGTGGGAATTTGAGAATGTTTGGGATGCGATTTTCACCACCCAAATGCAAATTTTTGCTCCAGGACTGGTCTTCAGCGGTACCGCGGTTAACAATAGAGAGTGAAGTGGTTGAGTGTGTTGACCACTTCACTTACCTGGGAAGTAGGATCAACTCCGGTGGGTTAGTTGCCGATGAGATTTCTGCACGGATACAAAAGGCTCGATTGGCTTTTGCCAATTTGCGCCACCTATGGCGCCGCCGTGATATTCGTTTGTCTATTAAGGGTCGCGTGTACTGCACAGCAGTCCGCTCTGTTCTACTGTATGGCTGTGAAACATGGCCATTGAAAGTGGAAGACATGAGAAGGTTACAGGTATTTGACCACCGTTGCCTTCGTAGTA